TCATACCATCCACAGACTGACGGGCATACAGAAGTAATGAATCGAGGCTTAGAGCAATACTTAAGGGTTTTTACTCACATCAAACCAACCAATTGGACGTCATACTTGGGATTGGCAGAATTTTGCGCCAATACAAGCTACCGCAGCAGTATTAAAATGACTCCATTTCAAGCACTATATACAATACCACCACCCACCTTAGCACCGTATACAAAAGACACACTAACAGTGCAAGCACTAGATGAATTATTGTTGGATCGTGACAGATTGATAAGGCCACTGAAACACAATCTTCGGGAAGCTCAGCATCGCATGGCCCAAAAAGCCAATGCCAAAAGAAACAAAATGAAATTTTCAGTAGGAGATAAGGTCTGGCTTCGTCTACAACCATATAGACAGATATCAGTAACACGTAGAAGCTCTAACAAACTATCACAACGCTATTATGGTCCATTCAACATCTTGAAAAAAATATGGGAAGTTGCATACCGCCTCGAGCTACTACCACAAGCAAGAATTCATTCAGTATTCCATGTCTCACAACTCAAGAAACACATAGGAACTGAAGAAAATATAGAGGTCCAATTACCAGAAAAAATTGTGGGCCGATCACCAATTTCAACTCTACTAGCGCTCTGTGGGGAACAGAATGTTCTAAAAAATGGAAAAATACAACGCCAAGTCTTAGTGCAATGGTCAGATAGTAGTCCAGAAAACGCCACTTGGGAAGCTGCCGAGGAAATGGAATGATGGTACCCGAATCTCCACCTTGAGGACAAGGTGGTCGTAGAAGGGAAGGGGAGTGATACGAGTATATCCACAGTAGAAGAAGGTGAAAATCAAGAATTGGGAGAAAGAAAAGAAACAACCCATGCTACTAGGCCAAGGAGAAAACGAAGGAAACCGGCATGGATGGCTGATTACATTTGTTAGACTAAGTTTATTCGTAATAGGATACATTAGTTTAGTCCTAATACATTATTATATCATATTAATTAGGAATCATAGTCATAAGCATAATAGGAGTATGTAACTTAGTTCTACTATTATAGGGGTCATTTCAATTTTAGTCCATTATAATTATTTTTGTTACATTGCGTTCATTATTATTAAAAGTGTTCCAATTTTAGTTCACGGAAAATCTAAAAATGAACTAAAATTGGAACACTTTTAATAATAGTTGACGCAATGTGGCAAAAATAATTATGATGGACTAAAATTGAAAAAAACCCCTATAATAGTAGAACCAAAAATGGAATTCACCCTTTACAGGGCATTTGGTTGGAGAGGGGGAATTATGTGGGAAAAGATTTGTAATTCCATGGGAGATGAATTACTGAGAATAAAGTGGGAATTTAAATTCCAATGCTTGGTTGACAGGAATAGAATTATCAGGAATTCCAATTCCAATGTTTGGTATACATGGAGATTGAAAGGGAATAAGTAGTATAAAGTCTAAAATGTCCATTGTTGTTGTCAAACATTAATTTTAGGTTAAAAAGGGAATGGGTAATTTTGACTCATCACTATCTTTTTTTCTTCCTAAAATCCCAAGAATTAAAATATCAGGGGGGACATGGGATTTTAATTCTATGAAATGGAATTGCAATTCCTTTCAACCAAACAAGGAAATTTTGTGGCATTTGAAATTAGGTGGGGATTAAGTGGGAAGGAAATTTAAAATCCCTTCAACCAAACGCCCTGTTAAAAGTTGTTGGCATTATTTATAGAGTAAATACCCAAAATAGTCCCTCGACTATAGTTAAATTCACAAATTGGTCATCGACTTCCAATTTCAACCAATTAAGCCCTTAACTTTGCAATTTTAACACAATTTGGTCCTCTGTCTATTTGACCGTTTGTTGACTGTGATTTTTGAGGATATATATGTAATTTCATGGTCCATCGTTGGGTTTTTAAGGTTCCGTTTGCATTTCCAGACCGCACTGTTACATTTGAATCCACTGCCGAAAGCAATCTACCAAATCCGGTCGCCTTTCTTCATCCTCCCTTTGGATTCAATGTAGTTGAGTTCGTACCAGAGCGAAGAAGACGACATGTTTCTGAACCGGTGCAACGTCATCCTGGAGGCCTCCACGTGCTCCGACGAGAGCTGAAGGTTCTTCTGGAGATCGTCGATCACGGTCAACAAATAGTCAAATAGATGGAGGATCAAATCGTGTCAAAATTACAAAGTTAAGGACTTAATTGGTTAAAATTAAACGTCGATGACCAATTTGTGAATTTAGCTATAGTCGAGGGACCATTTTAGGTATTTACTCTTATTTATATATTGGTGGAGACAAAGTTTTACAGATGAGAGAGAAATTAAAACAATTTTTTAACAAAAGATCAGACTGTTATAAATATATATACTTAGTGGACATTATTATGTAACGGACGTAACGGTCCGATAATTAAGCATACCATTATTGTATCTGTTATACTTGCATTGTATATATACTTACATATGTTGTATTGTTTGGGGGCTAGTGAAATGAAACTTACTCTTCCCCCTATCTCTCTATACTATGTTCTTGTTTTAGCTTATACGGAATACTTTGAATACTATACTCAAATCACCGGTTAGGAGCTAACGGGCACAAACAACATTACAACACGTTATCAGCACGATCAATCTCGGTGAACGGTACTTTAACTAAGCGGTGAACGGTACTTTTATGAGTTTTCTAAGCCTTATTAGATGATGCCTATAATTGCATATTTGTATTCTAGAAATATTTGATTGTTTACAGCTTTGGTATGATATATATATTTATCGCCTATGCTTGTTTATGTGATTTCATGTTTTCATACATATTTCGATATATACATCATTTTCAAATGACTAATTCACAAAATTTTTATTCCAAGAATGGATGTTTTTTTCATTGCCCACTCAAATTTTTCGAACAATTTTTTGTTCTGAAAACCAAATATCAAACCAAGAAAACAATAACCCTATATCCGGATTCATGGACAAGAATTCACCCAGATCAGAAACCAAAATCAAATCATAAATAAAGATTGGTTTCATACCAATCTGCCTTCCGACGGCAGGAGTTCTGTCCGATCAGCATTCCGGCGGCGCGGTCCTCCGGTAGAGGGCGGCGGTATCTCTGGCTCTGCGGTGTTTTTCTTTCGTCTTTTTATCGAAAATCATCAATACATGTTCCCTTTGGCCGGAACCTGTCACCACTCTTTTATCCGATCGGCGATTGTGGCTTCTTGGCTGGCCTCTATCTGATGGACGGATGCGGCGGCATCTTCTGCTCTCCGCTCTCTCTCTCTCTCTCTCTCCGGCTGCATGAACATCCTGCGAGCCGGTGTGGTGGATAGGCCGGTGGTACACTACTGCGGCGTCCGACAGCGTTGCGAGGACGGTGGTCACTGAGAGCAGCGGCGTATTCGGCCACCCATTTTTTTTTCCTCTTCGGTTTTGTCGAAACCGTATGAGTAATAACGCCAGATGCGTTATTTCTAAATGGCATTTATTTACGGTTGTTTTTCTCCCTTAAAAATCTAGCAAAATAATATACTCCGTATATACTATTTTCAATGGGCCAGACCCATTCTTCTCAATTAAATTGCCAAAAGAAGAAGATATTCTTGTCTGTTGGGCCATCCATATTAATGCTGAAAGTATATCCAAGTCTAGTATGTTAGGCCACTTATTTTTTTTCCAATGAATCAGTGGCCTCATACTCATTTTGTAAAAAAAAAATTTTGACTAGCCTTAAATCTATGGATGCTCATGCACTTAATTGCTATTATTGTGCAATTTATTCTCTTTATATGAGTTCATATGCATAATATATAATTTTATTATTATACGAACCTCAAATTATTCTTTAGAGGTGGACCCTCGTTTTAGCCAGCCTTAGTATATATAGATTTTTTTGAAAAATCTCGATATTGGCTGCTATCACCAGTATGAACTCATCGAGCTTGGTTTCAACGGGAGCAATTACTTAGAAGTCCAAGAGTGATAATGCCTTGAAAGCTTTAATTTTTCCTCTTCTTGCACCGCCCCTGAAAAATGAAGACCTTACTGAAAAGGATCCCTATGTTTTCCTAAAATCCCTAAAGGACGGTTTTGAGCAGCAAATATCACTAGCCCTTCCCCAGACGCAATTTGGCTGACTTAACTTGAGATTTCAAGATTTAAAGTCAGTGACTGATTATAATTTGGCATTACACAAAATTGTGTTCCAATTTAATTTTGTACCAGTGCCTGAAGCACATAATGTTGTTCAGTCATGAAACGCCAAGAGGGGCTGAGGAAGAGGTCGCGATATGAATCAAGGCAAATGTGGCAACAATAACTCTCGAAACCATAATACACAGCAGTATGATCCAACTCGTCGAGGACAACCACTTTCATAAAATTTGAACTCTGGCCCAACAACGAGTATGCTTCAAGTAAAGGCACTGATCAAGTACGTGCCACACCCGAAGCATTTTGTTGAAAACTACCAACAGATTGTAAAATCACGATAATGAGAAGCAAAAGGTTGAATCCAACCATGTTGCATTGCCTGAAGCAAACACTCTTGTTGGTAATAATGTTGATCTACTGAAACACGAGCTCAAGGTTTGATCATTATCTACAAACCTTAAACTTATTCCTTCCATTTGATAAAGATTTTCTATTGTGGGCTCCAGAAGAGCGTCACTCATACTACCTAAGGGTACTTGTTTAAAAATAAAAATAAAAAAGCACTCCTATACCCTCAATGAAAAGAACGTTGCTTCATATGATCATAATTCTGGCCCAACAGCAAATATGCTTCAATTGTTGGCTAAAAAGGCACCGATCACGTGTGTGCCACATCTCGAAGCATTTTGTTGAAACCTAAATGAACATCACAATGTTGAATCCAATCAAGTTGCCTTGCCTGAAGCAAACGCTCTTGTTGGTTATATTGATGGCCTATGTTTTCATTCAACATCATTTCAGTGATGTTTTATTTTGGAAGATCTTTATACAAACATCTAACTTCTTCCTGCAATTATTGATAAGGTTTCCTTTGTGGGTTCGGGTAGAGCTTCACTTTTACTCCATCAATTTTTTATAAACTGAAATGCCTTCATCCGATCAAATATCTACTTTGATCACATATCCTATGATGAGTAGACATATGTTACTCTTTCTTTATGATCTAAAAAGACAGATATGATCTAGTACCTTATGGATAATGCCTATTTTATGGATTATCCTATGAACTTCGTCCATTTTTCGACGATTATTATATGACATTGAGCATTAAGGCGGAGTATCAAATACCTCAAACCCAAATGGTTTAGCTAATTAATAAAATTATGACTTATTGCTAAACCATTATTTTTCAAATTTTCAATATGCCGGATACTTGGTGGGGAAAAGCAATATTTATGCTAAAAATTTCGGCACACTGCATATCCTTATTCCCCCTTACATCTAATACGTGGTTTTCAAACAAACATTTCCCAAATCTGCATTTCTACTCTTATGAATGCAGTCCAGTCTATTACATAATCACCATAGTGTATCCATCTAAACTTCCATTTGTTGTCTCCAATATTTAAAGCCCCTGAAAGAGATGCGATGGATACGCTGACTGCATGAAGATCGGTTCACGGCATTAGGGGGAGATATGATCAAAATTAAAATGGAATGCCGAGAAATTTCATGAAATGATCTTCAAAAATCAAATCCACGTACCAATTAGACTGAACTGGAAGTTCAGAAAGAAATCAAACATATCTGCCAAATAATCTTTTTCATAAAAAGAGTGACTAGGTCCCATACATATTCCCCAAAATTGGACCATATATATCTATCAATACTCCTTGACGCCAGAAGCGCGGGAGATTCATTGGGATAGAAAAATAAAGAATCAACTAGATCTAGTAAAGAATTTATGTCACTCGTGAAAATCTTAGAGCTCTTGAAATATTAAAAAGTTATATCTTTAAGACGATCGTCCAGACGACGAGAAAAAGCCCAGTAAAATTATTGGTGCACCAAATATTCATAATACTGGGTTGCGGAACAACCAGATATAAATATCCTTGGGAAATGGCTATAATCTGGTTAACTTCGAAAACTACTTTTATATATATGGGAGAGATTCTTAAAAATATTGTAAGTTGTCGACAACACAGTTGCCTTCAAATTGCTCATATTATATGACAATCTGGATCCAGAACTAGGTGCCAGAAGCGCCTAGGTTGATTAATATATAGAGAGAGCAATTAAAGGCATATACATCTCAACTCGCTAATATATTCCTTTTGTACACCATTGAAGTATTAACCCTGTAGGTTACAAATGGTGTTTGTATGAAGGAAAACAAGAATGATAAGGTGGTGAGATATAAAGCGAGTCTGTAGCCTAAGGGTTCACGCAGAAACCCAGCATCAAGTATACTTTCCCATGATAAATATTATTAAAAGTTCCGCTACATGATTGGCAGAATAATTCTAGATATGCAGCTTATTAAAGTCATGACCTAGAAATTATGGGTCATTAGACACTAATGTTTATATGAAAATCCTTGATGGATTTATAATTCTCAAAAATGAAAGAGAATAAATATCACAACACGTTTGTTGTTGAAGTACAATTGCTTTACTCAAACTTAAAATAGTGAAGCAATTGATTGAGTAATTTCCTCTTAAAATAGGAAATTATAGAAATGAATATGTACCAGTACGTACTTATTAAGGGGCTTATTGGAGATGGAGAATCAAGTATTACATCGACCTGTAGATCGAGCATTTCCTTAAAAGGAATTTTACATACTATTTAGTCTATGTCCAAATAATCTCCTGAAGTAGATAAGGACCATTTTTACCTAAAAGGATACTTCAGGACCAGAAGTCCACTGCTTCAAAACGTCAGTTTTTGAATACCTTTTCTTTGAGACATAAAATTCCCAAATTCACATCTTATTTTTGTAATTTGTAAAGAGTGATTTGGTGATTCTCCTAGAAAGAAAAGGAAATTTTGTTAAATAATATCCTTAAGGTATAAAATACATCTTTAGAGAAGTCATTTGAATATTGGCATTATGTTAAACGTCATGACTTGGATTGATATATTATAAATCAATCTAAGCTTTAAGCATCTTAAAGCCTAAGGGATAATACTTGTTCTTATAGATGTATTTTGTATATTATCATCTCGTTATTACTTTCCCGCTTTGTCATAGCGACTGTTAAGTTATGAGATGAAATAAGGAATAGCAAATCAAGGTACAAATATTCATATTGATGCTTTTGACATGAAGTCATCATACTTCGGACAAATAAAAACGTATATAGTTTTTTATGATATAAAATACCTTGATCCACATGAACTCCAGAAGAGTGATAAAATATTTGTCCAGAAGATTTGCTCCAATGACAAGTTAGCAAATCTATACCTACAAAATATCTATGAGAAATCCCTGATGGATTTATAATTTCAGAATGAGGATTTATTTAGTATTATTAAGTGCCATTATTTACTCTTTAAAGAGTTGCGAATGGGGTTATTATCCTCATGTAGAAGGAATAATATGTACCATTATGTGCTCAATAAAGAGTTGATAATGGACTTATTTATTATCTCAGTCAATATTGATGGTGTAAACATCAATGAAATATATAAAGAGCTTGATGAAGTCAGTTCATGTTTAAAGACTGAGATCGTTTTTTGAAATAAAAAGCTTGTGAAAGCTATAAGTATTATCTCGACTTGAAGATCGAGTTTTTCCTTGAAGAATTTTTATACACCAGTCAGCCTACATCTAAAAATGCTTTTCACATGTCTATATGCATAAGTGTCATGTTTTTATCAAACTAAAGGTTGCCTAATAATCTCTTGAAGAAGATAACGAACCATTTGGACTCGAAGTCCCTTACTTCATTATCGTTGGAGCACCATTTTAGAACCAGAAGTTCCATAATCGCAACATGCATGATATTTGCGATGAAGTTGCTAGCAAAATCTAGTGCTCCCCCTACAATGAAGTACTTGAATAATGATTAACATATCCTCCGGTATCTTCAAGATACAAAGACATGATATTTATGTAAGAAACTGTGATACGGTTTTAATAGGCTACTTGGGTACTGGCTATTTTGTTTGATCCCTGTAATGCCAAGTCCAAACTGGTTATACACTGAATTTTCCTAAATGATCAAAATGAGGACAATAACACTTGTATTGCACAAATGTTATATGAGCTCTAGAAGAGCCATAAGATTATTGTACACTACTCTAGAGACAATCCAGAAGATTTGTCCAATCCATCTCTTCAAATTTTGAAATATATGTAGAACTTGAAGATTGTTATCTTCAGGGGGAGACGGGAAGTATATTTACTCGAATCAATTCGGAAGATTGGACGTAAAATCCTGAAGATTAAGTCATAAAAGACTAACAGTTGCGCACTATTTGCAACACAACGGGAAGTACATTTACTTGAATCAATCCAGAAGATAGAACGTAAAATCCTGAAGATTAAGTCATAAAAGACTAACAATTGCGCACTATTTGCAACGAATAAATACATAAATATCATGTACTCTTTTCCTCGCTAGTTTTCTCCCATTGGGTTTTCTAGTGTGGTTTTTAACGAGGCATGAGTATGATATAGTAATGACAATGAGGAAAAGTTGCAAAATAATTGCTTAAATAGACAAACCCAAAAATCCTGAAGATTATGCGGTTTGCGCCCTGAAGGCTTATGGTTGTACTCTTTTTCCCTTAACTAAGTTTTTCCCACAGGGTTTTCATAAGTTAAGGTTTTTAATGAGGCGACCAAATACAATATATGTTTTTACATATATCATGTACTCTTTTCTTCAACTAGGTTTTTCCCACATGGTTTTCCTAGTGAAGTTTTTAATGAGGCATGAATATATTTTCTATTGTACTCTTTTCTTGTCTAGGTTTTTCCCACCGGGTTTTCCTAGCAAGTTTTTAACGAGGCAAGACTATGGACAAATAATGTCCAAGGGGGAGTGTTATAAATATATATACTTAGTGGACATTATTATGTAACGGACGTAACGGTCCGATAATTAATCATACCATTATTGTATCTGTTATACTTGCATTGTATATATACTTACATATGTTGTATTATTTGGGGGCTAGTGAAATGAAACTTACTCTTCCCCCTATCTCTCTATACTATGTTCTTGTTTTAGCTTATACGGAATACTTTGAATACTATACTCAAATCACCGGTTAGGAGCTAACGGGCACAAACAACATTACAACACAGACCACCTTCATCTTTTTATGCAATGTTAGCAGAGTTGTGGCCTCACCCACTCAATACTCATTGACAAAAGTAAACAAGTAGATCTGAACAATTTGAGAGAGAGAGAGAGATGGCATCTGTTGCTTTGACTTCTCTCAGTGCAACAATGAAGTTGGAATTTCTGCAACCCAATAATCCAAGGGTTTCTCTTGATGATGAAGCATCCATATCAATCAATTCTTTGTTTGAAAAGCTTTCATCTTTGCAAGCTTTTGTGCAAAAGAAATCTGGGGGTGGCGCTGCAACCAGAGAATTGGAGATGAAGATCAGAGACTTTGCACTGGAAGCCGAAGATCGAATCGAAATACAACTAAGCAACTTTCTTTTGGCAAAAAACGGAGAGGATCAACAAAATGCTTCTCAGAAACTCCACCAGATCTTGCGAGAAGTGGCAGAAAACGCAGCAGAGTTGCTGAAACTTTGCAGCAGCATAAGCAAAGAAGCAGTGAAGAATGAAAGTGAAGGAGCACTGATTCCTTGGATAAAAAATTCTCTAGTGATGATTGAGGGGGGCACAATGGTGGGTCGTCGCGGTGATCATATGCTGATAGTGGATAAACTCGTCAAGGATGATCGCTGGGGGAAATTTCATCAGTTCAAAGTAATCACAATTCTTGGTATGACCGGTATAGGAAAAACAACTTTTGCTACAAGTGTCTATAATGACCCAAAGGTTGCATCCCACTTTGATGTACGAGCTTGGGTTACCATGTCTGGGGAATACAACAAGACCCAAACGATACACGACCTTCTTTGGACACTAACAAAGGAGCCAAACATTCCTGATGATGATGATGTAGCAGCTAGGCAGGTATACAATTTCTTGAGAGGTAAGAGGTTTCTAATTCTTTTGGATAACTTATGCAACACTCAAGCTTGGAATGATATAAGACGATGTCTTCCGATTGAATATGATAAGAGAAGTCGTGTAGTGCAAACCACTACGCATTTAAGGAGTGATTACCTTTATATCAGTTTGAATTTCGGTTTGGAAGATTGGCCCTCAAGTTTCTATGTCTATCACATGCCTTTGTTAAATCCAGATGAGAGTTGGGATTTATTTTGCAATAATCCCTTTTTGAAACGACATACGGCATCTAAATTTGAAAAAATTAGGAGCCAAGTTATAGAGGTATGTGAAGGATTGCCACACTCAATTCTTGTAGTTGCAAAGCGTCTATCTAAGTGTGACAACATACAAGAAGAATGGAAGAAGGTTGAAAAGGAAATAGAGTTGCTTGGAGTTCTAGATAAGAGGGCATTGACCCACACTTATAATCAATTACCGCAACATTTGAAAGTTTGCTTTCTATATTTTGGAGTTTTTCCAAAACGTAGTGCAATCAAAGTGAAATTACTTATTAGGTTATGGATTGATGAGGGATTTATTGAGCCTTTGGAGAATAAGCGGCTAGAAAATCAAGCTTATGAGTATCTAGAAGAATTTATTGATAGAAGTCTTGTTCTAATTGACAATTGGAGTTTTGGTAAAAAAGTTAAGAATTGTAGGATGCATAGTGCCTTGCATAGCTTTTGCGTAAGAGAAGCTCAAAAAGAGGGAATTTTTTGTGCTTTAAATACTCTACAACTTCCACGAGGATCATTTAGCATGTTTGCAAATTCATGCCGCTGGTTAAGCTTATACACACATAAATTTGACTATTATGTGTTGTTAAGAACAAACAACCCTCGCTCCATTTTCTTCTTTCAAGAGGATGCTGGTATATATGTATCTTTCAAGTTGCTTAGAGTTTTGGCTTTTGTTCCATCTTCGTTTCTTCAAAGAGCACCAACACGCTTACAAGATTTAGTTTTTTTGAGACACCTATGTGTACCTAAATGGTTTGAGGGTCTTGAGTATGTAGTGTTAACCAATCGAAACTTGCAGACACTTATTGTTTCTAGTAAAGAATCTCAACTTAGAAAACCTGCTATCCATTTGCCTTCAACAATTTGGGACTCACCGCAATTACAACATCTTGAATTTCACAATTCATATGTCATTGATCCTCCAACCCATGTTCAAGTTAATATGCAAACATTATCTTGGGTGTGCTCAACTCATTGTACGACAGGAGCATATCACTTCTGGTTTCCAATCATTGAGAAATTGAAAATGTTTGTATTTGGCAGCAATCCTATTATATTGGATAATCTTGAATATTTGATATGTCTTGAGAGACTATCAATTTCAGTTTTGTTTGGTTGCATTTCAACCCGTCCAATGACATGTACATTTCCTTTGCATCTAAGGAAGTTGAGGTTGAACGGTACTATGCTTACAAATTGGGGTTTAAAGGCAATTGAAAGGTTGCCTAAACTTGAGATTCTCAAATTGAAAAATGTCTTTTATGAAAAAGTATGGAAAGTAGAAAGTGAAAGATTTTGTCAATTAAAATTCTTGCTTCTCGAAGATAAAACGCTCAAGCAATGGATGGTCATCGATAGTAGTTTGTTGGAGGATAAAAATGTAATATCCTCCCATCCTTTTTATTTTCTATTCTTTTTCCCTAATAACCAGTGTATCCATCTCTCTTAATGAATAATATCAGATCATCGTCTTTCTTCTTCATCTTCTCTGTAACTCTCGTTCCTCCCTTTCTCCCATCACTCGTGTAGCATAATCCGACATGGTATCAGAGCGGCGAGGCAGCCACGCCGCCGCTATCACCGTCGCCGGAAAATCGAGTCAAAGCACGGCTCATCCAGTGATGTCTATTGTTAAATCCGTAGGTCCGATTGCTACGCAGAGTAGTCGATCAATTCCACAGAGGAAGTCAATCAATCCGATTGCTACGCAGAGTAGTCAATCAATTCCGCAGAGGATTCCGAGTTTGGAGCAGTTGACGTCCGTAGCCGATCCGCAGAGGAAGGAAGGGCTTCTCAGTCAGAAACAGATGGAGGAATCTACAGATTCAGCCACAGCGGTTGTATCTCTCCATCTGAAATACGTTCAGAGAGCCATGGCTTTGAAGTGCGTGGACTCAATTGAGCGAGAGTTTCTGGATCAAATACCGTCATCTACGCTCCGCAGAGTGCCGGAGAAGCGGATCCCGTTGATTGGGGATTGGTTTGTTGAGATCCAAGTTGTTAGTCGAAATTTAGGCCAGTTAGCTATAAGACAAGTCTCCGCAGCGAGGCAAAGAGAAGAGGAACTTGGAATCAAGCAACGGCAAGCCGAGGAGCAGAGTCGAATCGCATTGATTTCTGATTTTGAGAATAGGAAGCTCCTATTGATTTCTGATTTCCAGGTATCATCATTGACGCCCTTTCTCGATTCGCATCAAACGTTTTTTGCACAAATTGCTGGATTTTTATTGTTGAGGATCGTGTTTTGAGGATTGGTGGTGGTTTGATATCTAAAGTGGTAGTGGAGAATTTATGGGACGAGACAGTCTTCTTGGCGCGGAGCCTCGGACACTGCGAATGCGAGGGTTTAAAGTTCTTCGATTCTAGGGTTCACTCTCTCCCCAATTCCTATTGTTTCCACAAGGTTTATTCCGGGAACATGGCTTCTGACCAGGTAATTGCTGAATTGGTTGGAATGGGATTTGAATTCTCTGATATTACAGATGCTGTAAAAGCAGTTGGTCCATCAGTAAGTCATGCAATTGAGTATATATTGGATGGTTCACATGGAAATAAGGGCTCATCAACTAGTAGTACATGTGTTGCCCCCAAGACCAATTCTAGGCAGAAAAGAGCCCCTAATGCCTTGCCTGCTTTTGATAGAACGAGGCAGTCTAATATGAAAGAATGCCTGAAATCAGCTTGCAAGCCCATAAAAAGGAAGTACAATGATGAACCTGTATCACACTGTGAATCAGAGGCATTGCAGAGGACTCTAGAAGGTCATACTGAGCTTCTTCCTGTGATGGATACTGATATGTGCAATGCGCATGAAATATCTGTACCATCGAATTGCAAAGATGAAGAGGTCTTTGGCCAAGATTGGGAAAAGAAGGTCAAAACTTTGTTGGTCAAGCACTTTGGGTTTTCTTCCTTGAAAAGTTTTCAGAAGCAATCTCTGGAAGCTTGGTTGAATCACAGAAACTGCCTTGTGCTTGCAGCAACTGGATCTGGGAAATCTCTGTGTTTTCAGATTCCAGCATTGCTCACTGGTGAGGTTGTCGTTGTTATTTCAACGTTATGATGTTTTCAGAGGGACAGTATGTTATGCAAGTGTGCATGCTCATCATGGAAGGATTGCAAGCCGAAGAGATGATTTAGAGTCCCTTGCTTATACACTCGTCTTCCTTCTCCGTGGACGGCTGCCTTGGCAGGGATACCAGGGCGAGAACAAAGATTACTTGTCTGCAAGAAAAAGATGTCTACTTCTCCAGAAATGCTCTGTTGCTTCTGCCCTGGTCTTTTTTTTAAGCATGCAGTTTGTTGAATATGTTGTGAATTTGAAGTTTGATGAGGAACCAAACTATGCCAAGTACATTTCTTTTGATGGGTTAGCTGGTCCAAATCCAGACATCAAACCCTTCTTTGTATAATGTTGGTTGCTGTATTGATTCTTTTTTTTCGTTCTTTTGTATCTAAGTTGGACATGTAGAATCTACATGCTCCAGCTTACGGGGGGGGGGGGGGGGGGTGTTGGAGGATAAAAATGTAATATCCTCCCATCCTTTTTATTTTCTATTCTTTTTCCCTTATAACCAGTGTATCCATCTCTCTTAATGAATAATATCAGATCATCATCTTTCTTCTTCATCTTCTCTGTAACTCTCGTTCCTCCCTTTCTCCCATCACTCATGTAGCATAATCCGACATAGTTCCTTCCCATGTCTTAAGCACTTAGTCTTAAGATTTTGTTATTGTTTGAAAGAAATCCCTGTGGATATGGAAGATATTCCACTGCTGGAAATTTGCTATTTTCCGACCACCGAAAAGTGGTCGAAAATAGCCTTAATTAGGTCAGAAACGCCTATTCCGACCTCTATTCCGACCAATTTGAGTATTCGGAAACATCCCCCTAGCTATTTCCAACCACCAGAGAGAGTGGTCGGAAAGAGTAACCACTTTTCTAAAGCCGTCGGAAAAAATGGCCAAGAGAATAGTTAGGCGGGTCCAGATTTTCCGACCACCGGTGGTCGAAAATTTCGACCACTTTGGTGGTCGGAAAATTGGACGCAGTCAATAAAAAAAATTCATTTCACTACAGAGGAATCCTCTGTAATGAAATCAATATATATATATATATATATATATATATATATATATATATATATATATATTGTTCCAAGCTGGTCGGAAAATATTTGCTGAAAAACATAAAATACACATTTCATATGCTTGAAGAGAATTCATTCATCGATATACAGTTGAAAATTTAAAACAAGTCAAAATATGGCATTTCTATTAGTCTCTTAATTCTAAATGTATAAACAGAAAAGACACAAGTTCCCAGGACATATTTGCAGTATGGAAGCAGCCTATTCAATCATCAGTGTTTCTAGTGTCCTTCTGCAGATTAGGCATTTTCACTATTAGGCAGCTGAAAGAAGCAGAAATATATTAACAAGCTAGCTTTATCATGTTTCATCTCAGATTTTGAATTGCACTCTATTTTTAAATATCTAACCAGGGATGGTTAGAGCTCTCTTAAATGGAGTAATGCAGTTCAACATCATTGCCTCATTTGTTAAACACATGGAATCAACCAACTCATTCAGACATAACAAAGCTTTAGCTTTTACCCAAATTTAAAAATACTAATTTGAGGAGAATAAATTAATAAATTGTTAACTATTGGTATATTCTTAAGTGTTACTACAAATGAGTTATAAGCATCTATATAAAGTTCTAAACCATAAATGGATAATAACTATTAAAGTCTTGGACAACAAAAGCTCCAAATAAAAGGACTATTATTAAGGTCAAATGAAAGCAATTTCTCAAGTATAAACAAAAGGCAATTGTAGCTCAAACCTTGGATATGATAAGCTAAATACTCTCCTATTACTAATGAGATTTATTCAAAACTCATGTACCATGGAGTAGTAGGTTACCTTAGTCAAGCCTTTGATTGATTCAGCTGTCTCTTCAGATAAGAACCTCTTCAAGACATTATATACAAAGCTGTCAAAGATTATAAACACTGGTTATGCAAGAGAATTAACAATAAAAGCAATACACAAGATTCCATTATGAGAAGTTGGAATTTATATAATCCTTACGAGGGAGGCCTCGCACTCTCAAGTTGTAGAGTAACAACAGTTCTCCATGGAAGTGAGAAGTGACCGAATCTTGATCCCTCATTTTCTTTCTTGCTTCCCTTCCTCCTATTCAGCTTACCTTAGATATCTTTTGTGCTACTTTCTTCTTTCTTCTTCTCATATGTTTCTACTACTTGCATGCTGCCTATCTGTCAGTGATCTTTGTTTTGTTAAAGAGATGGGAGGATAGGAATCCTACAGGCAGTCACAGATTTCCTCATTATTATAAGTAAACAGTAAAATCCGATAGCAGTTGCTCTCCTTCCATGGAAACTATCACTTGGAAGTTTAATGTACCTTTATTATTTGTTGCTCCACTTTTGTCACTTGTTGTACTTCCTCTGTCTTCACATCTTCATGAACTTGGTATCGGTTTTCAATTTGCTAGTCATTGAGGGACAGTGTGAGTTGTATAGAAGTTTTACATCCAACACTACTCAGAAAGAAATAAATATTGGCATGTTGTTACCTTTAATGCTGAATCTGCTTGGTTTGAGTTTGCTACATGCTCTACAACTACTCTTTGAGTGTGGAGAAGCTCATTTTCTGACTCTAGATCCTTGATCTTGCTCTTTAGTCTGATTAAGAAAATATCTTTAAAAATACTTGCTATGAACTCATCAGTGTACCCCCCTCTTTCTTGGCATCAATTAGTTGTACATCCATTTGCGATGTTCCGGTATATTAGCCATATAAAACAACTATTTCAGTTTGGTATCAAACTGAAACAATAGATAGAAAATAATAAACATTAATTTAATAATATTTTAAAATCTGAATAATTCTATATTCTCAAATTGTGTTAATAATATGAGTACTGTATCACTGTTCTTACCTCTACTGGAGATGTAGATGAGTCTATGGATGTTGATACAGCACCCAGCCAAGCTTCCACAAAGGAGCAAGAAAAAGAAATCCAAAGCTGTAGAAGAGCAAGAAAATTATGCAGCATTTTCTTTAAGCAAGAATGAATTATTAAGAAAAAAAAAAAGGCTCAAATCTTTATGAAATAGCTGGATAAAATTTTACCACCGGGATGAGTACACAACCATAATTTAGATGGTTTTTTTTTTTTTTTTGCCTCGTAAAACTCATCTTGTTTGTATAATGAGCTAACATATTTCCCTAACACAAATGAAAGTCCGCATTCAAAAAACCCCCCATTAAGTTCATGGGAGTACATCTTGGCCTCTGTTTTAGCAGGAAGGCTAATATACTTCAGCCTTTCCTCCCTTAAGCATTATAACATAATTTCTTAGTTGGGATTTACCTGTCAGCTACCTTTCCAATTTCACCACCTAATGCGTCCACTTCAGGTACGAGCTGTGACTTTGCAAGCCCACCAACAGCTGGGTTACAAGGCTGCAAGGATTTCAATTACTTACTGAATCTTTCCAAAATGTGAAGCAAGCAATCTCAGATTCTCTTTGTAAGCTACTTGCTGTAAAATAATATCAAAATGTGAAGCAGACAATCTCAGAAAGACTGAACACTCACCTTTAGCTAAGGATTGTTGTCTACAGCCAATGGATTGTTTAAATTATCAACATCAGAGGCACTGAGGTAGAAGAGGGGGATTCACCTAGAATGCAATAAGAATTACCATAAGAGTCATGTCAAAGAAACAAAACTAAAGCACATCATTAAGACTCATAAATGCTGCTAAAACTAAAGCACATCATAAAAATCTGCTAACTTGTTCATCTCAAAAAAATAACAGATTCATCTCAAAAAAATAACTTGGTGTTACTCAGTTTCTTCTGGCTGTGTACAACATTATTTAATTAGCTGCTTTTGTTCTTCATCTTTCCCTGTCTTCTGTCTTCTGTTTGTGTTGCTGGACAACAGAAATTTGATCCGCGGAAGTCAAGAAGTGAGCTATTTTACCTCTGTAAAACCAAATAATTCAGTAAATTTCCTGAATTGCAAGAAAAGGAAAAAAATTACTAGATCATAGATAACCACAATTCAGTTCAAATTGAGTCGAAATCAAAATCAGAATACAAGGGTTATCTATCTCCTATGTCTCTCATAGTACTGGTTAACAAATAAATCAATAATGACAATAAGCCTCTGTTTGCACATTTATACTTCGACTTTCCTCTCAAAAGCTTTTAAAAATTAGGTGACCTAAAGGAGATACCAATATTCTAGCCAAGAAATGCTGCTTCAGACCTCACAAACCAGAAATTTGATTAAACAAAACACAAATAAGATAGCTAAATAACTAATTTCAAAGCTGTGGAAGCAACTACTATGTAAAATTAACATACAAGTAACATACCACCGAACCCTACAACCAACCAACCCTAAACCACTGACCAAGCAGAACTAAAGCAAGAAGAAGCAGAAGAACTGTAAACTCAGTGAAGATTTTGGACAAAATTAAACATGAATTACAGCATTCAGGCTTTAAACTAGAAACAAACCTTGTTTTACAAAGATTCACGAGAAGGTGTCTTTGTGTAGTTCACTGACGCTTTGCGAGTAAACGAAGCATTTGGCTTCTGATCCTGCAAAAGTCACAAGCAAAGATTCAAATAGGAATAGATAGGAAAAGATTCACAGAAGCACTAAATCCGCAAATAAGATTGATTTGAGGGAGAGAACGAATATGAACATAGAACACTTACCAAGAGGGAGAGAAAGAGAGGAAATATCTTCCGTATATTATGTCGATGACAAGCCACGGGTGGAGAGGCCCAGACGGAGAAGACTGAGCGATGAACGGAACTGAGCGGCGATGGTGAGAGACAGAGATGCGAGAGCTTTTTTAGGTGAGAAGTGAGAATAGATGAGCGGCGGAAATGAAATGAAATGAGGGTTAAGTCTCAAGTCTCAAGTCTCAAGTCTTAACGTCTAATCTTAGCATTATATACAATAAATAATTTCTATTTTTTTTAAAGACCATTTTCGACCACCAAATAGAAGGAGGTCGGAAAATCCAACATTTTTCTGTCCAGCCCAATCTTTTGACGGAAAATTAAAATAATTTCACTTTTTGCGACCATTTTTATGAGTGGTCGGAAAAGTGGTCAGAAAAATAATAATTTCCAGCAGTGTTCGTACCTTGGAGTCAATTGAATTGCAGGGGTGTTGTCCGTCCGTTATCACCTCTGCAAAGTTTATTCAACAATATCAACACGACTGTGGAAACGAGATTTTTGAGGTTAGAATTGAAGCTACCTAGTACAGTACAACATGATTCATTGTTACATTTCCATTTATTTTTCTATTCAATGCTAGCTTACTTCCGTTACAAATTAAAATCATCTCATCTCATCTATTGCTATTTCTCCTTCCTTCTGATCTTATTTCATTCTTAGTCTTGGAATTGAAAATTTTAAGGTTAGAATTAAGCTGCGTATGTAGTATAACATACACGATTCATTCTTACTACCATTTATTATTTTTCTATTCAATATAATTTTCTTTACATATGTTTAGCCTTGTCACCCTTTCATTAATATCTAATTTCACTTTCTTCAATTCATTCTTTGCCTTCTGTTTTTCATATATATAGATCAAAATCGTGGGACCTGAATATGATGATGAATCACAATGTACGCACACAGATGAAGAGTCATCTATATCTTCAGATGATGAATGACGATGACAAGCTAATGTATGGATGCATGCATGCTAGAATTGATCCAATCACAAAAATTCTTGGTTACCAACTAACTACATATATATTTCTTAATATTTATTATTATATATGTTATTACTTTTCCTTTGTTTTTATTACTTTGCAGTCCCCTATTTCCTGTATATATGCAATCTTCTTATCTTTGTAAACCTCAAATTTTGTATGAAGCAGATGATATAGGCATGCCTGGAGGACGCGTGAATACCTTTGCGGTGCATTTGTGAAGTAGTTGCGGTGCATTTCTGTAGTAGTTGTGGTGCATTTCTTGACGAAGCTAGAGTACTTATGGGCTTGCGGTGCATTTGTGTATTAGTAGCGGCGCATTCTTTCAGTCTCCACATTTGTACAGTGATATGAGCTTAAATGTTCATATTTTCACCTTGTATTTAATCTTATTTTCCTTGTCATTTGTTATAATTTTGTCCAAAGTGTTCCTCATTTTATTCATTTGTGTGTTTAGGTGTAATTCTTGATGATTTAGATGAATGGAATGATTATTTTTGGAGCATTTTGGTTGCATGTAGAGTCAATGGGAGCCAATGAGAAGCTATGAAGATGAGGGAAACACTTCTTATAGATCCAAATTGTGGTGTGTTCAATGATTTTTTGTCATTTAGACAAATAATGGCAAAAGTGGAGAAAAAGAGCAAAAAGTTAAAATTCAGGCACAACTCATCCACTACTCGGTACTTTGACCATATTCTCAGTATATAAATGTCTGAATTCAAGTGAGTTTTACGCTATCGAAAAGATAACTTGAATTAAGCTGTGTAGTCTAACATACATTATATTTTTTTAAGGGACATATATACATGATTCAGTGTTTTGGTTGATCTCAAGGGAGGGATGAAGAAGAGACTTAGAAGTGGAGTGGTTTGTTACTCTGCGGCTCTGACCCCTCGGAATCTCCATTGGGTCTGCATTGTCTCGTCCGTGTAAGTAAATATCTTTCACTATTTTCGTTACTATTCGCGCATCCTTCCTTATTTGTAAATGTTTGGCAATAAAAGTATAGCACAGTCTCTGGTCTTCCCTTCTTTTCCTCCCTTTTACTCTGAATCTTCACATGATTACTATGACATTGGGGCTAATTTTTAGGTCAATGTTGTTTAGTATGAGTGTCAAGACTTGCATCTTTTATTCTCACAATTCTTCGATTATCTTCCTTAGGGTTTTGATGCTTGCCAAGGGAACTTTTATTCACAAATCTTTTCTTGTTCCTTTGTTTACTTTGCATGCCTCTTCAACTCTTGTCTCATGGATCAAGTAATCCTCTCTCGTTAATTTTTGTGGTTTATCATCATGGTGAGTGCATGCTATTAAATTCCAAGCTTCAATAATCAAATTGAACATTGATTTGTAGGGGTGAGTATGGCTTTTGGACATCATTCTTGGCACTACTTATTCGCCTTAATTTTCTTCTTCTTTCCTGGTAAGTTATTGTGGCAGTTTCTGTGCTTTGTTATATTGGTGACTCTTTAAGTATTATAGTATACCCAATCAACATTATTTGAAACATGGAGTTGCTTGCTTTAGCAATCTTAGAAATGTAAGATAGAATGAAGTTCTAGGTTTTTTTTTTTCCTGGTTGTTAACTTAAGACGATGAAATGAACACAGGGACGTCTTCCATACTGAGCCTAATATTGAATCTCTTGTTTTCTGCTTTGGTATTTTATTTCATTTTTTGACAAGTAAAAATTTTGCAGTATTCATCTTTTTCATAATGAGAAATTTCAAATTCTAAAGTTACTACTGCTAATCTTGTTTCACAAAATAAATCTTATTCCCCTAACATTTTTAGAGGGGATGGAAAATAGAAGGAAAAGAATAACAGTTAAGAATTAGCAAAATCAATTGTCTTGCTGCATTGCATGGAAATTGAACTCAACAAGTGGCAATACAACAAGTGGTAATTTGGTCCTCTTATCAAGTTTCAAACTTAAGGTTAGTAAAATTCATTTGCTGACTTCATTAGCATTCTAATTTGTTTATATCGATGTTCAATTCCTCTTTATTGCGCTTGGCAGGGGGACAAAGGAGGGGGTCGTTCTTTCCTTACTGATATCGTATCTAGCTTTCCAGCATTTATACTTATAGAGGGCTTAAGGTATAATTGAAAAAGGGTAACTTATAAAACTTAGTAAGATTCACTTGTATGCTATTAATATATATTTTATTTTATGGTATGTGGTCACCATCTTTCTATTTTTAAAAATACATATTATGAATTGCTTTTGCTTTTTTGAATTTCCTCTTTGTTAATGGATTTGTAAATTACATTTTGTAATGTAGGTATCAGATGAAGAAAGTGGTCATCAATCTTTACCAGGGAGTGGAAAGAAATTTTTATTTTAAAGAAAAGGGGAAATCTCCTACATGATATTGTCACGTTGAATGAAATACAATGTTGCATTATATTTTTCATATAACGCATACTTTTTAGTTATAAATGAAATTTAATTAATACATAGACTATTGTGCTTGAATATTGTTGTATGTTATTATTTGACAAGTATTATTTACAATTGTTTTTTTTAATATGTAGAATTGATTTTCTTTTAATATGTAAACTTCCATGAACAATGTTAAACATTAGTATTTCGAAATACAAGTTACATTTGATTTACTCTAAATTAAATGTGTATATTTACTTATGTTTGCAATGCACATATGAAAGTAGAGGTTTACAACAAAAAGTAATTAAATGACAATTACAAATTTTAGTAGCAATCACTATTAAATGAGAAAATACAAAAAGAAAATAAAAATATATTTTAGCGATCGTTATAAATCCCTACTAATAACACTAAAATTTAAAACCAAGACTATGTGGTCTAATGGTACCTGGGTTGGATTTCTATTTGGAAAGTTGTGAGTTCAAGCCTCCGTGGAGGCGTTATTGGTTTTTTGTGTTTCAGTAGGTTCTCCACTTAATGTGAGATTAAAGAGGGCAAATGAAAAGATAAAAGAGTTGGCTTTGTAAAGCCCACTTAATGTGAGATTAAAGAGGGCAAATGAAAAGATAAAACACTACAAGAAAAATGCACATAGACAACGGTTATTTGTCGTAGGGGTATAATTTCTGTTGTTGAAGCCGGTGTTGTTTCTGTTGTTGAAGCCGGTGTTGTTGTAAGTCTCGCGCATAGACAACGGTTTTTTAACCGTTGTCTTTTCTAGAAACAACAACGGTTTTTTAACCGTTGTCTATTAAATGTTGTTGAAGCCGGTGTTGTTGTAAGTCACACACATAGACAACGGTTAATAACCGTTGTCTTTTCTAGAAACAACAACGGTTTTTTAACCGTTGTCTATTAAGTGTTGTTGAAGCCGGTGTTGTTGTATGTCACGCACATAGACAACGGTTAATAACCGTTGTCTTTTCTAGAAACAACAACAGTTTTTTAACCGTTGTCTATTAAGTGTTTTTGAAGCCGGTGTTGTTGTATGTCACGCACATAGACAACGGTTAATAACCGTTGTCTTTTTTTAGAAACAACAACGGTTTTTTAACCGTTGTCTATTAAGTGTTGTTGAAGCCAGTGTTGTTGTATGTCACGCACATAGACAACGGTTAATAACCGTTGTCTTTTCTAGAAACAACAACGGTTTTTTAACCGTTGTCTATTAAGTGTTGTTGAAACCGGTGTTGTTAAAAGTCACGCACATAGACAACGGTTTTAAACCGTTGTCATTTCTTCCAAAGACAACGGTTTTTGACCCGTTGTCAATTCAATGTTGTTAAAACCGGTGTTGTTAAAAGTGATGCACATAGACAACGGTTTTTAACTGTTGTCTTTTCTTTAAAAGACAACAGTTATAAACTGTTGTCTATTGTGTGTTGTTGAAATCGCTGTTGTTAAAAGTCACGCCCATAAACTGTTATCTATTGTAAAATAGACAACGGTTAAAAACCGTTATCTCAACAATTTTTAACCGTTTTTAACCTGCTTAAATTTTAATCATATAAAAAAATCAATTTATCCATTCACCATGGCCAAGTGTAGTTACATAATTTTGCACAAGCTAATAAGGTTCAAAATAACAAGTCTAAATACTTCCATGACCAATTCTAATTATCATCCAAGTCATAATACTACAAAAAACAATTCCACAAACCAATTCAAGTCTAAATGATCACAACATTCTAATGATCAAA